ACCAGCTCAGATATGCAGAGTGAGAGAATATGAATTTTGAATATGAATTTTAAAGCTCTCCGTGTAGCACAATCTCATTCACCTACAGCTCCTGTGCACTCAAATCTCCCTAAAAGGCACCTTGGTTACACATCAGATAAAATACCCTCAGAGCCTATTCTTTCTCTGTTCGGAGAGTGCTCAGTGCAAACTCTCATTAACTTACTTTTGTTTTAAATAACTGCAAAATATCTCTGTTTTTGAAGGGGAAGAAGGTAGAAGAAAGTGTGGGGGAGGCCAATATATCTTAGATTTTAAGGGAAGGACCCCCTCCAAAGTGCAAAATCTTTCAAAGACTTTCACACAGCTTGTGAAACTTGGTTGTGACTGCTCTCTATAACTTAGAGTATAACCATACTCTGCCTCCTTCACCCTCTGACACATAACAAGAAAACTGGATTCAAAATGAGATTGCACCATGGTGAATTCATTCCTTGAATTGCATCGTAAGTTTCAGCAATACACAGCGTGGGAACACGTCGATTAGCTCTGCTTTGAAGAAATTGGATTTGCAAAGGTCAGCAGTGGCTCGGCCCATTTCTCAGCAGATCTTTGGCTTGCTTTTCATCCCGGGACTAGCAGGGAGGAGGTCAGAGAGGAATGACAAAAAGAGCGAGCTTTTTGAAGAGAGCCCAAGGAATCTGACTGTGCTCCCAGCAGTGTGGAGGTTTCTTTTGCTCAAAGCTAATAAAAAGGTAGATTTTAAACCAAATTTATGGGAATAACTTTCTGGTTATACTTTACATATTAAACAATTAATTGTTTTGGTATAAACTAAGAAATGCTTTCCAATGTAACTTTTGGTCTGGCAAGAGCTGCCTGAAGCTAATCTGCAGAAAAGCCTGCTCACCCTCCCCCATCCCTCCCACTTTTTGTGCAAAACAGTTCAGCCAGCCTGGAAAAGAGGTAGAAAAAAGCAAAGCTCAGCCTCCAGTGGAAGTGTGAAATCCAGGGAGTTTGTGCTCTATATTTCTCCTCTGAAACACGTCTCCCAGTTGTTTAGTTTGCTCCTGTGCCAGTGCACTGAGACAGAGGTAGCTTCATTACCCTATTGAGCCAGAAAATTCACAAAATATTTTGGCCACTCTCTGCACCTTATTAACATAAACTGGACTTTCCTCCTGCTGCTGGCAGGGCAGGGTGCTGGGGTGTGTGATCAAGGCGTTTTGGCAGCTGTCACCAACGTCCTCCTTAGGCTGGCAGTGAAGGATTCCTCCTGGATCCTGAACAGGGGTTTGCTGTGGCCGCTTACACCTGAAAGCCACAAAAAAGGGAAGGAGCTGGGGAGAAAGAGAGCAGATTAGAAAGGAATCCAAAAATACCAGCAAGCCTGAGTTCCTTCACCTCTAAATATTAAACATTTCTTGTAGAAACATACAGACTGAAACATACAGAATACAAAACAGATACTGAAATATAGAATACAGAACACACAGACTGAAATATATTTCCTAGAAAACTGGGAATAATGGGCTCATCTGCTTTGTTAGTGTATTATTTTTGGCAGCTCATTTTCTCTGGCTTTAAAGCTTTGTGAAGGCTTGCAATGTGGGGAAAGCATAGGCAAAATAGCTCCAGCTGCTATTGCAGCTCTCCTCAAACTGTAAAAATTTGTTTTTCCCTAGTCTTCCAACAAGCTACATGGCAGCATTCTGACATAAAAATATGATTTAGAAAGTATCCAAATCATAGAAGGCCAAATCTTGATGCTGTGTTGGTTCTTGTTAAGGAGCCATTACTAATCCAGGTGAATTCTTCTTGTCATTAACTGAGCAATACTGGCCTTTGCCCTTACTTCAGAAAATTCCTTTCTGAGTCTGTCCAAGGAATGCCCAGAGGTCTGGCTGCTGCAGAAGGTGCCAGCAGGAGTACAGTAGAAATACTGCTGGAGAAGGGGCATTTACAGCATGTGCAATAGACATGTAGGACAGAGTTTTGTAGGGAGATGAAGATGAAAAGGGAGTGGTTATTGTCAAACCGACAGAAAAGTGATGCTTTTGTGACCTAAGAGGAAGTAATAAATACCAGGTTTAGGCTTTTAGTGAAGAAATGGCTTGTTCACCTGCTGCTGCATAGCTGCATCAAACTTCCACCAAAACCTGATCACCACCACTAGAGAGTGAGTCTATGAGAGCTGGTTAACAGCTCTGCCAAGGACATTGTGCCAGCTCCTCTCACAAGTGTTGTCACCACAGAGCCCGCCAGACCCTGGAATTTCTCATTATCTCACATACCAGCAACTCTTTAAAAGTGCTTTCACTTTCCAGTTAGAGAGATAGAAGCAAGCAGGGGATCTGAGGAAGGTTCTGCAGCTAAGAGGATCTCTCTTCAGAAATAGCACTTTGTGCTAAATATGAGATCCCATCTAGAAGTGTTGTTAAAGCATCCTTTCTAAGAATATAATTTTTAATTTGACAGATTTCCACAACATTTGACCTAAAGAAGATTGTGATTTATGGACACATACCTCATTTGAAAATTTTTATCTGAGTAGTGCAGATAAATATATACCTAACCTGGAGATCTTAGGCATTAGGACATGTATTTGGATTACCTATGCACAGCTGTTCATGGTCAGCCATCAAATCTCAGATCCAGTTTCTTTTCTCTATCTAGCATCCTCTTGTCTCTGTTTTCATTTTAACACTCTTTTATGTGGGATGTTTTTATCAACACTTACTTCAGCATCCTTCAGTGGAAAAAGGCATCCTTGTCACACCTTTCACATATGTATAAGCTTCGTAACTGAAAACACAAGTATTAGGTTTAACTTTCTTTTTTTCAGAAACTAACCAAAGGAAGTCAGGAGGTTAAGCAGCTACAGTTGAGGGTACCTTGCTGAGCTGCAATAAAAAAAAAAAATATTGGCCTGAATTCATATTTTTTTATTAAAAGAGAATGAACATAAATTACAGCTGCTGACCATGTAGTCATTCTTTTTATGAGGTGTTTCCCTATACCCCTATATGATTTCCACATATAAATTCCCTGTAGGACTGAAAACTCCTCACATGAAACTTGTGCTTTTCTTAATAAATTGTCCACAGAATCAGTATTTCATCTCGGATGTAAAAAGTTCATTAGGGAAAAAAAACCATCCCCGTGTCCTGGAGGAAAGCAATACCAGACACTATTCAAGCTAAAAAAAGATCTGCCTGCAGATTGTGTATCATTTTTCCTCTGCTTTTCTACTTAATTATTTTCCATAATTTAATAAAATCCAATATAGCATAGCATACTATAACTGTGCCTGCAGTAACAACCACTTAGTCCAGAGCAGAAAAAATCAAATGCGTTCCGTTGAGGATTTCAGCATTTCGAGTTTTGTTTCCTTTAAAACTTTCTTGAAGAAGGGCACTTAATTCTGAAACAGTGTGAGCACAGAAACCCTGAGGTCCTCCCTTCTGAAAGAACTTGTTTTATGGAGTGCCCTCAAACCATGCAGCATGGAAGCCTGGAAACTGCTCCAGGTTTGCCTACCGAGGTCTTCAACCAGAATCAGATGTTCCATATGGGGTGCTCAGTTGTAAATCTGAGAAAGCACTAAAAATACGGAATAGTAGAAAAATGTCCCCAGAGCACCCATGAAAATGCACATCGATGGTTACCTTTGTTGCTCCATGCAGAAAAGAGGCGGTGCTGAACCGAACCGGATGGCCATGTATTCAGGGTCATCTGCTGCTGCTCTTACTCTGGAAGCACAGCTGTCTCCTCATGAAACCAGCGACTTCAGCAGACCCCGGGTGAAGAACTCTCTCCTAAGAGATTCCCCTTTCCTGAGAAAAACGCTTCCTTTGACAAACTGCTGGATGTGTGTCAGAACCTGACAGAAGGGGGACGTTTTTCGCTGAGCCAGTGTGGCACACTGTGGTCCCCAAAAGCACAGTTGCTTTCATTCCCATGATTTACTTTCATCCGTCTTTTTCAAAACCTTCCCTAATTAAGCTTAATTGCCATGCGGTCACACATTAGTGCAACATTCTGTCCACTTATGGACCACCCATAAAATCCTTCATAGCATTAATCCCGGAAAGTGGTAGACTGCTTGTTTTGTTTTGTTTCCTAATGTGCATAAGTGCCTATAATGCACAGCAATGGCTTTTTGGAACTGATACTTGACTCTGATTATCATGAAAAGATTCTTAGTTTATGTCAAAAAAATCAGAGAGGTCAGAAGGGTTGTTGTGTTTTGGGAAAAACAGGCATTTATGATGATTTGGAATCTAAGAACTCTGGTGCAGAACTCAGGCATGGAAATTCCCACCTCTTTTTTATACTTAACTCCTTCTTAGGACAGTTATGGGTTAGACCATAACAATTTGGATACCTTTAGCCTTTGTGAGCTAGTCAGGTTCTCTGCCTCACTTAAGTCTTCAGTGAGCCTTCATCCCAAAAAGCAGCGATCCCATGACCTCATGCAACCCATGCAAACTATCTTTTTTAAAGATGGGCAAAAGCCTAGTCTGGAGGATACTTCTAAATACTTTGTAGGAGATGAAACCTAACAGAATATTTAGAAATAGTAAAGCAAAATAACGCAGAATCACAGGAATCAGCTGAAATATTCTTGCAAGCAGCTGATTATTCTTTAGAATTGCAGTTTATCTGAATGCAACAATTCCCATAACGTAGTAGTCAAGAAGACCCTTGACTTTCTAGGATGCTGAAGCAAAAGCAGCAAGTACCAGGTACCTCAGGAGGGTACTGGGTGGGCTGAAAATTCACACGAGTAGAAGGACAACAAACCTAAAAGACAAGAAGGAAGCAGAGAATAAAATCAAAACTTCTGTAGCAAAGAGAGAACACCATAACTTATAGCAGAGATATAACATGAGGGAAGTTCAGCCTCACTTACTTTGGTGAGTGACTCAGGGAGTTGGAGATCACACCATATGACTAAACTTCATTTATCATTTGCATGGTTTCTGGGTACTGGGGAAAGATGCCAATATTTTTGCCACTGCTAGAAATATTTTTCTTCATCTAGAAATGATAAAGAGAAAGGGAAGAGCAAAATTTAGGTCCAAGTAAACATTTCTAAATTATTGGTAAATGATTAAGTTACATCTAGTCCTTTCCAAAGCTTTCAGGCTCTGTAGGATGTATCTATTGGAAAGGGGAAAATAAAAGGAGAAATACCAAGAGCTCTCTAACTAGCAAGGACTTGTTGCCTATGTAACTTATTAGCTAAATTTGTCCAACATATACACTGTTAGAGATGAACATTCTATGAGAAAAGTAGGGCTCTCACATCATGCCTGTGAGACAAAAGTAAAATAGAGAACAGGACATACATAAATTATTGTCTGTGAGTCCAGAGGCAAGTTTTGATGATGATTTAATATTTTAATGTCAGGAAAAATCATTCCTTTCTGTCACACCCTTATGAATTTCAAAACTGAGCAAAAATCCCCCCCCACTTATAGCTTAATTGATTACTATAAAAATGAAAATATAGAATTTTTATTGTTTAATAAAAGTTAGCAAATTTCAAGTGACGCAAAATTTCTTCCAGGTTTCTTTCTTAAAAGCTAGACCCTCACTGTTATCTAAATTGATACTATATTTGTCCCTTATTTACTGCCCAGCCCCAGAATTCTTTCTGAGTGGCAACAGCACAAGGCAAACACTCATGGGCAAACTGAAGTGACAAGCAAGCAAGCAAAACAGAGGAAAGAAAATGAAAAGTGTGTACTTGCTCTGACAATTCTGCTGCAGGGTATTGAGGGTATCATAGTTGCATTGAGTTAGTCTTACAATTAATCAGTCATTACAGGAAAATCTGACAATTATTAAAGAGAACCACCCAGCTCAGAAATGCTGGGATAAATTAACATGTTGCAATCCTACTGACACCACCAGCATCACTCTCAAGGAAAAATTGGTGTTGTTCTTTTGTTCTGTTGAGTAGGAGTCATTTGTTAAATTTCGGATTCTCTTCCAAACATTAACATGTCTAGATAACATAAATGTAGCAATCCTGGAGATTATCAAACAAGGGGGGCAGACTGGTTTGATATGGGGCTTCTGCACTTCAGAAACTCAGTCTGGGTGCACCAAGGGATGCACTTATACCTAGGGGTATAAGCAGCAGGGTTAGGATATGTGCGTTGTGGAATATGCCAATCTGGAATGTCTTTGTGGGTATTTACTCAGAGAAAACATGGTGCCACCTCAGTGATTGTTTCTATGCATCTTTATACTTGCTTTCCAAAATAAGCAAAATATCTAATCTCTAAAAGTACTGACTACTAAAAGTACACAGTTCCTTAGGGAGGTTTCAACATAATTGTGTCATATGAATGTTTGCCTGTCATCTGTTTGCTCTTTCCCCCCAGTTTTGACTCCATTTTACAGAAGGGCAGAGGTCTCAGTGAGTCAAGTTCTGACACGTCCCGTGCAAATTGGGGACAGCTGATGGCTGCACACACAGCACAGCTAGCCTGGCCACGGACACAGTGCTCCCTGCCAGGTGCTGCAGGCACGAAGGACAGGCAGGACTGGTGGTGGACGAGAGCTGGGAAGCAGATGATGAGGCAGGAGAGACAGAAATCCGTAGGAAATTAGTGCTCTTTAGCTTGGCTGCCTGTGGGCCAACTTGTTACTGATTTATACAATGTTTTCCCTCTCAGTTCTTGAGTTGTTCTGAAAATTATTGTTCTCACCAGTGATGCTTTCCAGGAACAGGCTGAAGTGGTTGCTTCAAAATTCCCGACAGTATCATTTATTTGCTGAACAAGGGGGCACAGCAAACAAGCTTTTTCTTGTTTTGCTTTAACCTTGCTGATGCCTTTTCAGTGAACTATGAGCCAAATTCCTCATTTCACTGCTTTAACAAGTGTGTAGATACTGACATCTCCAATCCCACTTTCCCAGGTCAAGGTCATGTTTCATTAGAGACCAACTGAGACTGCAGAACTCTATTTTCTCATAAATGCTGGTCTCACTGATCTTAGTGGGAGAGCATGTGTGGGCTGGGGGCTTGGTACCCACCTGTGTATGTACGTATTTATATTTAATTCAGAGATGAAGCTACCCTGACAGTGATAATTCTGTCCAATAGAATGCAATAATAAATACAGAGCCTGTTCCTATAGACCTAGTTTGACTGTAGCTAATCAAATGAAGCCAGTACTCCTGAGAGAAACAGAAATCCAGAGACACCAACAAATCATGATTAAAAGTGAATGAAGCCTCATTAGGGAATGGTTGCAGATTTCCTACTTTGTTTTGCCTAATAAATATTTAATTTCTCCTACAGGCAGAAATAAGAATAATTTGAGGCTTAAAGAAAACATTTGTTCTAATGAAAGCATTTTGCTTGCTAATAGTATTACCCCCCTGTGAATAACAAAAGAACTGTGAACTCCATAGATTTAAAGAAACCCCAGAATTATTCAGAAAATCAAATATATATTTAGGGCCCTGGGCAACAAGCATCAGATACACTCTAGGATAGTACCACACATTCATGATTATATACAGCGATACCATTTCATGGCTGGTATGGAAATGAATTAAATTTGTATTGTTCACATCCAGTCCCTGTGATCTAAATACAGGCAAACATGAGAAATCTAGTTCAGACAAAAAGCAGCACCTTTTCAGCTAGAAGGAAATAATAAATTCTTTCATCACTCAGCCAGTGAGTGTGTGGGATAATTTGGATATCCCTGGTGCAGACAGCAGGCAGGAGAAGGCTTCTCACTGCCCACCCTTGCACCCTCCCTGGCAGTGGTGGAAGCCCAGAGCCCACCTCTGCACTCTGCCACTGGTGGCATCTAAGGGAAAAATTACTGACATGATTTGATTAACTGTCAATGCTTCTCACAACATCTTTAGATTTATGCTGTGGCCGTGATGAAAATCTTTGATTTAGAGTAATGGTGCCTCACATTCAGTAACCAACATCCTGCATTGCCTTTCCAAAACTAAAGTTTTGGAAAGATGACTTCAAAACTAAAGTTTGAGTTAGCTGCAATAGCAGAGAGAGGATTTCTGCCATTGCTTGCACTCAAGCAGCCAGGAAGAGTTACACACAATGAAGGAAAACCCTAGCTGATGCAGTTTCTGACACAACAGGAAATCTATTTGCTTCCTCTGTGTTTCCTAAAAACCTGAGACCAATAAATAATTCCTATCTTCTAACAATAAGCAAAAAAGTTGATATTCTGCTGTAGTTTGGGAAAATATAAACTTTGATGACCTACTTCTGATCCTGGTTCAGAATTGCCGTAATGGTTTGCCTGCTGTCCTCATTGTAATGGTTTGTACCACTGCCCAGGAAAAATCTACTGCAGCAGTGTACTTATTCATAATGAAAATTCCACATGAGTAACACTCAGGAATATTAGAACCAGCCTATAAGCATATGCCCTTAGATTACAAATTTTAAAAACAAAAATAATAAAAAAATACCCCAGTAACTCTGTCTTGACCTTAATAAGCAGAGGAGTGTCACCAGTCTAGAAGTGTATAAATATCTCTGTATAAATATTAATCTGAAAAATGTTATCTGCCTCGGGAATGTAAAAAAAAAATATTCGAACAACAATTCTTCGGCCTTTAGGTAGACTTCAACAGTTAAAAATAGCCCAGAATCCAGAACAACACACAACAAAAACAAGAGTTATTCTTTGTGCTGATGCCATTGCCCAATTTCCCAGCACTAATCCTGCGCTGTGCTCCCCGCTGTGCTGTAAGGATGGCAAAGGGCAGACGGAGCCCCAGAGCAGAGCAGCTCTGAGGCTCACTGGAGCACGGCTGGGGAGGGAGCCGAGCCGTGCCAGGCGCTGTCCGGCCGGACCTGGCGCTGCTTCCCCGGGCAGCTCCTGGGACAGAGCTCAGCTGGGCTTCCTGCTGGTGGGCACAGCCACGGGCACGGCTGGACCCTGCCCGACCTGCAGGGCAAACCACAGCAGTAGCTGTGTGTGTGATTTCACTAGGGGAAACCCACGCTTACAGAAACAGCAGGCTGTGTTTCGGGAAGGGACAGACCCTCTGGACCTACAGAGCACTGTGGGAACAGTTCTGTCGCTTTTATTCCCACTGAACACGCCTGTTCCCCCAAGCAGACCCAAACACTTACATGAACTCTGTATAAATAAGGTTATAAAGCCACTAATGTTCTTTAACTACGAAGAGATAATACCAACCATGAAACCTGAGCGGCTTTTTCTTGTCTCCTGCACATATGAAAGATGGCATTAAAAGAGATTAGTTTAAACCACTTGCAATTTCCTTTATGCAATAAAAGATTTTCTTTGCTTGGAATTTTCCTATTTATGGTGTGTATTTGGACTCAGTATAGCATAATACTTTCCTCAGTATCCCTGCTTTTAATGATGCTCGCAGCATTTGAGCCATTCATCAAATTTGACAACTGAAACAGCTAGGAGTTAATGGGAGCATGAGCAGTTTGACAAACACAGTCTATTTGACAAGGCTGAGGTCAGGACTAAAAGAACTGCTCTTGGTTAAATAAATAGAAAAGCAACAAAGTAAAGCAAAATCTCTGCAGCCATTTATCAACTTTAAAAGCCTTTTGTTATAAGAAACACTAAGTGAAGCTGCACACAGAGATGGGAATTAAAAGGGGTTGGAAGAATTCAGCTGGCTTCTTTTTTAGGTGAAATTAAAAAGCTCAGTTAAAACTGAGGGATTACGTCCATAAAATTGACATACAGCTACATAATACCTAAACCTACACTTTAGAGCTCTCTGCTTCTGGACTGAGTTACTCTTTTAAAGAACCCAGGCTTTTCCTAGGTAACACATTGATTCAGGCAGCACTGAAAGTAGAACGGTATCATAAGAGATGACTTTGCTGACATCTGCAAAGCTGGAGAGCTCTGTGTAGGCATGTTCAAGAGCACAGCTGAGACTCCATCCATCCATTGCTGCTTCCATAACAAATTTACCTGAGAGCAACCTGTGCAAGGCACCTTCAGAGAGTCTGCAAACTAAGTAACAGAGCT